TTTCCTGTAATCTACACTTAAAATTGAATATGTGTACCGAAATTTAGCTCACTATGTCATGATATGTAGAAGTTAAGGTGGGGGGACAGGGTCATTTGTAGTAATTTTTTCATTTTTAAAATTAATTATCCAGTACGAAGTTTGGTAAAATCAGAGTAAAATATCACAGTGAAAAGAAATTAAATTCACTTTAATTGTCTTGATTACATATTTGAGCCTCCGGAAAGTATAACCACACATAAAATTCTGACGCCCATTGAATTAGCATGGCGGTCAGAATTTCATGTGTTGTTATACTTTCCGGAGGCTCATTTATAGCATAATATCCACAGGTGACAAAATATTGTAAAGCAGCTGCTGTCAGCTACCCACTACTAGTGATCTCACCTCGCACGTGGTATACAAAAATAAAAGCGACTGCTGTTTATGCAGTTGATGTCTCTTTTTATTAGGGGCAGGTTCAGAGCAGGAGATGCCCACGATGACCACCAATAGCGCACAAAATCAGCTGATGCAGGTGAAATGCCACGTGGTGTTTGGCACGAGGCTGGTGTCCATAATCAAAGCTGCTACATCGAGGGGGTATATTAACTCATTATAGTCAAGGCCACACTATCTAAACCAGTAAATACCCCCACGTGCTACATGTAGTCTATAGAAATGCCTCTGCACAATAGACGCGCTTACTAATTTTTCACGAAAATTACTGAATCAATTTTAATGAGCTTTGCGCGGGAAAAAATTTTTGGTATACCAAAAATTTTTCCCCGCTCAAAGCTCATTAAAATCGATTCAATAATTTTCATGAAAAATTAGTTTTCTTTTATTTCGTTTTCCCTCTTTAATAACAATGTTAACATAAATCTGTGAGTTTTTCAATTTCGCAAAATCGACAACGTGCGATGGTGGTGTAATGGTCAGCATAGTTGCCTTCCAAGCAGTTGATCCGGGTTCGATTCCCGGCCATCGCACTCTTTTTTGCATTTTTTTTAGCAAAACTGTTTCATTTTTTCAAAAAAAAAAAATTTTAATATTTGTATTTATGTATTGTAATAATCTGCATCTTTTTTATTTCAATAAACACACTCTTTAACTTTATAAAAAGACGTTATTTTATTAAAAAATATTATTTGTTCATTTAAAATTTAACAATACTTTTAGACCTGCTCAAAGTACCGATGCCAGCTGCGTAATAGATTTCCCCGATTGGGGGCCGTCCATATAATACGTAACGCTAATTTTTGAAAATTTCACCCCTCTCCCCCCTTGTACTACACTGTTACATACATTAGCGACATTTTTTGGCTTATTGTAACAAATAGCTTGACCCCCCCTCCCTCCGAAAAGTGTTACGTAATATATGGACGATCCCTTAGAAAAGTCTGTAACACAAAATTCTGACGTCCTATCGCTCAAGTGATTCCAATCTAAGATTTTCTATTAAAATTTGTGGTATTTTCAAAGTTTATAAGTCAAACAAAGAGAAATTAACAGGAGGTACGGGCACACGCGCGTGTATGTACCCTTGTAAGATCCGGAGCCTCATTTAGGGTAGAATGATATGACCACGTATGAGACAGATGGCCAATTAAAATATTTTACAGAATTTGCAAAAAATATCACTTATTATGAATTATTCTTCACAATTCTTCTTTTTGTGACTAATAATAAATATAAACAACAAATGAATGAAAAATAATGAAAATATAAGTATAATCCTTTTTCATTTCATTTGCATGGGTCTAAAAAGCAATCTAAGAAATTCAGATTTCTTATTGTTATATTATGTTATTTTTTAACATAATTTTTAATTTTATGTTTTATTAAGTAGTACATAACCTACGCTTCGATATAAACAAAAAATGAAAGGTAAATTTATTTTATTTATTTATTATTTCGATGTTTACATTCATCATGTATTATTGAGTGAGATGGCCATTAATGACTTTTATTTAAATTTTTTGTATCATAATTTTAGATGCTTAAAAAATATTAAAGAGAAATAAATTAAAAAACGTGTGATAACAAAACAGTTGATCTAATTGACACCAAAGATGTAAATTTTAAGATTTTTTCTATGAAAATATTTTATTTTTCGTTATTTTAAAGTTAAATGTTCAATGTTTAATTACACAGGTATACAAAAAAAATAAAAGTGGTCTGTTTATTGAACCAGACCTCATGTTTTATAGTATTTTTGCCCGCTGAAAACGAATATAAAGTCAGAATTGCTCCATCACCCTCTGTTTTTCTTTAAAATCGAAAAAACTACCCTTAATGTACAAATTCAAAGTTTAAAGTAAAAAAGAATTAAATAACAGATTGTGTTGCAAAACAGAACAATAAATGTATGCACTTCTCTTACAACAAACTCAGAAACACTGTCAGAATTGTTCCATCACCCTCTGTTTTTTATAAATCGAAAAAACTAACCTCAGATGTACAAATTTAAAGTTTAAAGTAAAAAAATTAAATAACAAATTGTATTCTAAAACAGAACAATAAATTTATGTACTTCTTTTCCAATAACTCAGAAACAATGTTAAAATTGCTCCATCACCCTTTCTTTCTTTTGAAATGAAAAAAACCACCCTTAACTGTGTAAATCCAAACTTTAAAGTAAAAGAAAATTAAATAAAAGATTGTTTTTTTAAACAGAACAATAAATTGATGTATTTCTCTTTCAATAACTCAAAAAAAATGTTAGAATTCAAAAAAAACCCATTGTTTTTGTTAAAATTAAAAATAATAACTAGAAAAAAAATGAAAAAAAAGATTAATTTTTTAAAGGAAGTATACGTCTCTTTTTTTTGTTTAAAAACTCAAAATCAGCGTCAGAATTAAAACGTTACCATTAGTTTTTGTTAAAATTTAAAAAAACTGCCCTTAAAGTGGTGAAATTCAGATTTTTCAGTAGGAAATTTAAAAAAAAAATTTTATATACTTTATATAAGAGCAGTTTTTTTATTTAAGAAAAATTGGAGGGAGGTAATTTAATTCTATTTCTGATTTTTAGTTGTGAGGATAAAAATCTAGAAACGTATGCTTTTGTTAAAAAATTTAAGGGTAAAGTTAATTTTTTTTTTCCTGTCAAGTCTGAGTTTATCCTCTTCTACTATGTGTTTCAAAAATGTTTGACCCTGGAGAAAAATTGATATTACTCAGTAGAAAAAATCTCTATAAAACAATACAAAATGCACGAAATAGATTATTTTATTCTTCATATAATTTCCATTCATAACATATGACTAAAAATTTTTTTTACAAAGATATGAATAAAAAAAAGCGTGAAAAACAGGATCTTTTGAGTGATTTTTACTAAAGGACACTTTGACTCTATAAATTTCATAGAAAAAATGGTAGGAGAAATCTGAAAAAATTCATCAACATTCCATAATATCTACTTTCAACATATTTACAAATTGTTTTTTAAAAAATTTTAAACAATTGTCTACATATTTATTATTAAGGAGAAGTGCAATTTTGGCTTGTAATTGTGCTAGAAACTTTAAACAAAATTTAAAATTTTTTAAATAAATTTTTTATTCTAAATTTAATAAAAGAATTATTGTACAAGTGTAAATTTCTTTTATATTAACAATTCTTTTTTTCAGAATTTTTTTTTCTTTTGCATACAAAGTGGGCAATAAGTTTCAATAACACCCTTGAACTTCTGGAAGGATTGCTATCTATGACTAAAATTTTTTTTTTTACAAAGATATGAATAAAAAAAGCGTGAAAACAGGAACTTTTGAGTGATTTTTACTAAAGGACACTTTGACTATATAAATTTCTTAGAAAAAATGGTAGGAGAAATCTGAAAAAATTCATCAACATTCCTTAATATCTACTTTCAACATATTTACAAATTGTTTTTTAAAAAATTTTAAACAATTGTTTACATATTTATTTTTAACGAGAAGTGCAATTTTGGCTTGTAATTGTGATAGAAACTTCAAACAAAATTTAAAATTTTTTAAATAAATTTTTTATTCTAAATTTAATAAAAAAATTATTGTACAAGTGTAAATTTCTTTTATATTAACAATTCTTTTTTAAAATTTTTTTTAACAGTTACTCAATAGGGAAAGGTAATTGATACCCACCGAAAACTCAGGTAGTACTGTCTCGTTTATGGCTATGTCATTTTTCCTATTTTCAGGTGCCATGCAAAAAAAGGCTACGCTATATGAATGGAAATTATATGAAGAATAAAATGATCTATTTCGTGCATTTTGTCTTGTTTTATAGAGATTTTTTTCTACTGTGTAATATCAATTTTTCTCCAGGGTCAAACATTTTTGAAACACATAGTAGGGTAGTTTTCTTTAACTTATATAAAATAGTTGGGGTGTTTTTGAGTTGTTGTAAGAGAAGTACTTAAATTTATTGTTCAGTTTTGAAAAACAATCTGTTAATTCATTTTTTGTACTGAAAACTTCGAATTTATACATTTAAGGGTAGTTTTTTCGATTTAAAAAATAGAGGGTGATGGAGCAATTCTGACTTAATATTCGTTTTCAGCTGGCAAAAATACTATAAGACATGTATGTCTGGTTCAATGAACAGACCACTTTTATTTTTTTGTGTGCCTGTGTTACCAATAACAGTTTAGAAAAAGAATCATCTTTATAATTTTTACAGTACTTTAAAAAAATCAAAGCCATCTCCCCGATAGGAGAGAATCTCCTCCTCCCTACCTGCCTTCTTATCTATACTTCCCTCTTTTACACCAGCAGTTTCTCCCCTCCCTAAAACTGACTTTCACTCTCCTCCCATTTTGTTTCTATCTTTGTTTGACGTTCGAGAGTAATTTAAAGGGTGTTTACTCCCGGACAATGAGAAGAGGAAGAAGGAAAAGGCGAGTGAGACGAGAAAAAGAGTGAGATATTCGCACACATCCATATACATATGCAATACATATATACATATCCAACTGATTCCCTCCAATCCGAGCCTTTAAGACACTGGTTACCACGCGCTACTCTTCAGTAGTTGATCAACCTTTGGAGTGTAAAGATTAAAAAATTTTTCGTCCCCACTCACACAGTAATATACTAACACAGTAATACACTAACACAGTTAACCACCGGCTCAAGTTAGAAACACTATTCTACAAGTCTAACATGATTAAAAAAAACTAACAATATGAATACTCAACTATAAATCAAATTAGACCTTTCATTGAAATAAGTGCGAACATTTATAGTGAAGTGAAAAAAATTAATTTTAAAATTGTGACTTTTTTCTTGTTCTTCAAAAGTGTCATAATAAATCACTTTTATAGTCCCCAATTTTATTTTCAAATTAAAGAATTAAAAGTTTTATTTCAATTTCAAACTTCTAAAAATAAAATTTTTCACTTTTCCCAATTTGTGAATTTATCGATTAATTTTTCCTAATTTTTTTCAAGAAAAATTAGAAGGACACAAAAAATAACCAGGTATGTAAAAGCTACTCTAATATCACAAACTCCGCTACAAAATTCGAACTTCAATCGAAACAAATGTGACAAAAATTATTTATTTCTTTGATAATAGTGAATATCCCAAATACTTTTTTTATTATTTTTCGAATTTTTTTAAGAAACTTTGATATTAATTTTAAGAAATATATATCCAAACTCGGCATCAATGTCTTCTCACGATTTTATTTTCATATATAAACGGAGAGCTTTAGAATCACTTATCTCTTCGCTAGGGTGTCGGGTTACGGACTTTAAAAAAATGACAGAAATTATAATAACCATAATAATAGACATAATAATTAGACATTGTTTCCGGATATAAGAATAATATCTTTAAAGTAAAATTTTTAATCGAATTCTAAACCATATTCATTATAAAGTAATTTCAATTTCAATCGAATATTTTTTAATTCGCTATTACACAGATTCAGATTCACTTTCTAAAATATGGGTCAAAGATGTCTCCAAGAATTTGTATATACCACTTAGCGTCATATATATGAGATCTATGTCAACCATTTTGTAATGCAAGTTTTCAATATTTAAGAGCAAACTCTAAATTTCATTAATTACTCAAAAAAAAAAATTTCTTTTTAATTATTTTCAACAATTCAAGATAAAAATGACCAATTATTAAAATTTTTAATTTTTACTATTTTTTAAAATGTTTATATAAATTCGAATAATCAACAATAAATTGTTAAACAAAAATTATAATAAAATACTTTTAACAACTTAAGAAAAAAATAACAAAAATTAAAATTTTTGACTTTTTTTTACATTTTTTAAAATGTTTATGTACATTCGGATAACGGGATAAGCAACAATAAATAGTTGAAAAAAATGTTTAATTTAAATATTTTTAACAATTTAAGAAAAAAATAACAAAAATTAAAATTTTTGACTTTTTTTCCATTTTTTAAAATGTTATGTAAATTCGGATAAGCAACAATAAATTGTTAAAAAAAATTCTAATAAAATATTCTTAACAATTTAAGAAAAAAATAACAAAAATTAAAATTTTTGGCTTTTTTTTACAATTTTTAAAATGTTTATGTAAATTCAAATAAGCAACAATAAATTGTTGAAAAAAAATTTCCATTGAAATATTTTTAACAATTTAAGGAAAAAATAACAAAAATTAAAATTTTTGACTTTTTTTCAACTTTTTAAAATGTTTATGTAAATTCGAAAAAGCAACAATAAATTGTTGAAAAAAAATTTTCCATTTAAATATTTTTAACAATTTAAGGAAAAAATAACAAAAATTAAAATTTTTGACTTTTTTTCAACTTTTTAAAATGTTTATGTAAATTCGAAAAAGCAACAATAAATTGTTGAAAAAAAATTTTCCATTTAAATATTTTTAACAATTTAAGGAAAAAATAACAAAAATTAAAATTTTTGACTTTTTTTCAACTTTTCAAAATGTTTATGTACATTCGGATAAGCAACAATAAATTAGAGAAAAAAAATTTCCCATTTAAATATTTTTAAAGCAAAAAATAACAAAAATTAAAATTTTTGACTTTTTTTCCATTTTTTAAAATGTTATGTAAATTCGGATAAGCAACAAATTAATTGTTAAAAAAAATTCTAATAAAATATTTTTAGCAATTTAAGAAAAAAATACAAAAAATTAAAATTTTTGACTTTTTTTACAATTTTCAAAATGTTTATGTAAATTCGAATAAGCAACAATAAATTGTTGAAAAAAAATTTTCCATTTAAATATTTTTAACAATTTAGAAAAAAAATGACAAAAATTAAAATTTTAGGCTTTTTTTACAATTTTTAAAATGTTTATGTAAATTCGAAAAAGCAACAATAAATTAGAGAAAAAAAATTTCCCATTTAAATATTTTTAACAATTTAAGAAAAAAATAACAAAAATTAAAATTTTTGACTTTTTTCGATTAAAAAAATTTTCCATTCAAATATTTTTAACAATTTAGGAAAAAAAATGACAAAAATTAAAATTTTTGGCTTTTTTACAATTTTTAAAATGTTTATGTAAATTCGAATAAGCAACAATAAATTGTTGAAAAAAATTCTCCATTTAAATATTTTTAATAATTTAAGAAAAAAGTAGCAAAAATTAAAATTTTTGACTTTTTTTCATTTAGTGTCATATAGGGTCAATTGGGGTAAATGTAAACTGAATATCTATATGTTTCACCAAAAACATTAGATTTTTTTGTTAAAAGGTAAAACGGTCGGATTTTTTTTGCATGAACTTGTTACTAGAGTTCCCTAGAAAAATTTGATGAGGTACAAAAAAATATTGATGCACCTGAATCGCCTAAAACTGACTGTTTACATTTACCCCGAGATTTTGAAATTTTCCTAAAATTCGGTGTAAAATGTAAACACCACTGTAGTTAGGCGAGGTTTAAGAAACAAGTTATTTCAAGTATACTACTGTTTTAAGGGATGGAAAAACTGAAAAAAAATTCTTCGTAGATGTATAGTAATTCAACCAGTTGACTGATAATGTATCATATAAAATAAACAATCAACCATTACAAAATTAGTAATGTAAAAACTTGAATAACTTGAACAAATTTTAATTGATTTTCATTCAACTTGGTAAAAAGAAGTTTCTTTTTTATTTTGCTGAATAAGAATCTAAAATCGAATTTTTAAATTTCAAAATGGTGGATCCAATATTGCGGATGAACCTAAAAATAATATTTTTAAAAATTGATCAAATTTGCTTGAATCTGGCTACTCGGGGGTTTTTGAGGTCGCTGAATACGAATTTGAAGTCAAATTTTAAATTTTCAAAATGGCGGATAAACCTAAAAATATTTTTAAAAATTGATCAAATTTTCAAAAAAATTTTTTTTTTATGAAATTTTTTTTTCAAAGACGACCTAATTTCCTTTTCTATGTAATTTTACATTGCCAAATTAATGAAATTGTGAAATAAAAGCAAATTTATTCAATTATTTTTCTTTTAAAATGTACTTCAAGTTCTGTTTACATTTACCCCGAGTTTTCGAATTCTCGGGGTAAATGTAAACACTTAATTATTTATTAACTAAATTGACGAAAATCAAAAATCAAAGTCAATTTTTGTTGGGGCATTAATAAGGAAGAATTACATATTTTTGTTTGATTTTTTAATTTATTTTTATGCAAATGCGAGACAAAATACTGAAACAGTAAAATTTTGATTTTCAATCTTTTTTGCATTAAAAGATAACTTACACTATGGCATTGCCAATTGTCAAAATAAAATATTGGCAATACTCAGAACATCTTGTAGGTGAGCTGAGGTAAAAATATTGACGTCGTACTTATTTTTTAATTTGTAAATTTAGCTGAAACATCCGCTGTTTACATTTACCCCTTGTCTAAATTTTCCCCAAATGACCCTATAATATGAGATCTATGTCAACCATTTTGTAATGCAAGTTTTCAATATATAAGAGCAGTCTCTAAATTTCATTACTTACTCCAAAAAAAATTTCCTTTTAATTATTTTCAACAATTCAAGATGAAAATGGCCAATTTTAAAAATTTTAATTTTTACTATTTTTTAAAATGTTTATGTAAATTTGAATAAGCAACAATAAATTGTTAAAAAAAATTATAATAAAATATTTTTAACAATTTAAGAAAAAAATAACAAAAATTAAAATTTTTGAATTTTTTTTTAAGTTTTTAAAATGTTTATGTAAATTCGAATAAGCAACATTAAATTGTTGAAAAAAATTCTAATAAAATATTTTTAACAATTTAAGAAAAAAATAACAAAAATTAAAATTTTTTACTTTTTTTCCATTTTTTAAAATGTTATGTAAATTCAAATAAGCAACAATAAATTGTTGAAAAAAATTTTCCTTTTAAATATTTTTAAAAATTTAAGGAAAAAATAACAAAAATTAAAATTTTTGACTTTTTTTCAACTTTTTAAAATGTTTATGTACATTCGGATAAGCAACAATAAATAGTTGAAAAAAATGTTCCATTTAAATATTTTTAACAACTTAAGAAAAAAATAAGAAAAATTAAAATTTTTAACTTTTTTCGATTTTTTAAAATGTTTGCGTAAATTCGGATAAGAAACAATAAATTGTTGAAAAAAAATTTTCCATTTAAATTTTTTTTAACAATTTAGGAAAGAAATGACAAAAATTAAAATTTTTGGCTTTTTTACAATTTTTTAAAATGTTTATGTAAATTCGAATAAGCAACAATAAATTGTTGAAAAAAAATTCTAATAAAATATTTTTAACAATTTAAGAAAAAAATAACAAAAATTAAAATTTTTGACTTTTTTTCACTTAGCGTTATATATATGAGATCTATGTCAACCATTTTGTAATGCAAGTTTTCAATATATAAGAGCAATCTCTAAATTTTATTACTTACTCCAAAAAAAATTTCCTTTGAATTATTTACAACAATTCAAGATAAAAATGACCAATCAGCAACAATAAATTGTTAAATAAAAAATGTTTCATTGAAATATTTTTAACAATAGAAAAGAATGACAAAAATTAAAATTTTTTACTTTTTTTTTTAATTTTTTAAAATGTTTATGTTTTATGTTTGTTTTTTATAAATAAAAATTTACTTACAAGTTTTTAGCCAAATTGATTATATTTCCACAGGCGAAAGAATATTGTGTTTTTTTTAATATTTCAAGAAAAGAAAATCGATATTGAATTTTTAAAAGTATTTTTAAATTTGGTAAAAAAATGCTTTATATATGCCAAGCGAAGTTTTGACATAAAAATATATCCCTTTATATGAGAAGAGTAAATATGCAAATTAGTTAAAGGCAGAAATTCTTATGAGACTTCTGTTGGTCGGAGTAGGAAAGAAAGAGTGAAATACCTATCGAAAGACTGTTTTTTTCAATATGTCTATTAGATAGAGTAGGAAAGAAATATAGAGTTTCCTGCTCCTATACGATATTTTCATTGAGAAGAGAAAGAAATGAATGCCTGGACAGCGATAACATT